CTCCAACACTGGAAGTTTTTAAGAAGAAACTGGACAGCCATTTGTCTGAAATGGTATAGGGTTTCCTGCCTGAGCAGGGGGTTGGACTAGATGACCTCCAAGGTCCCTTCCAACTTTATTATTATTATTATTATTATTATTATTATTATTATTATTATTATTATTATTATTATTATTATTATTATTATTATTATTATGGATCATTGCACAGTCAGCCAGATGTTCAGACTGGATTTGGCATTTTGTCTACCTATCGAGTCCTTACCCAGGACCTGGGATAGGCAGATGTGGATGTTTGATGGTATTATAGATATCGTTGCAGGATGGAAGCAGTTATTATTATTATTATTATTATTATTATTATTATTATTATTATTATTATTATTATTATTATTATTATTATTATTATTATTATTATTATTATCAACTCTAACCGAGTATGAGAAGCAAAACATTTTCAAAGGAAAAAGAAAACCAAGTAAAGAGTCCAGTTGCCTTTTGGAAAAAAAAAGCACCTTTTGGGATAATTTGGGCACAGATTTTAAACCAACCCAGACCTGGTAAAGCAGGAGCACTACCCTCTTTTCTGCACTAGCTGTTCAGAGGGCTTATTCTGCACCCTGTGACAAAAGGGAACTTGCCCCACTTCCCCACATGTAGGGTAAGCCCGTAAACCAAAGATCTGGTTGCAGAGCTTGTTTTGAGCACTGAAGCCGTGTGCTGAACAAGGGGATGCATCGGCTGACTGGGGAAGCTGCATGATAAACAGGGGCCTCCAGACTTGGCAACTTTAAGACTAGTGGGCTTCAACTCCCAGAATTCCTGGCTTGAGGAATTCTGGGGGTTGAAGTCCACAAGTCTTAAGGTTGCTGCCAAGCTTGGAGACCCCTGTAACAATGTAAGAAAGCCAGAGAACATCCAACCATAATAACCCAAAAAACTGGCTTCATGGCATTTACCCAGACATCTCCCCAAACTGCCTCCCTATATCACTATCCTAACTGGGGGTGGGAGGGAGGCTTCTCCTATCTGGTGGTGATGTTTGGAAATGTGAAGACAAATCCAGAAGCCTTCAAGGGTGATTCAGAACACACACAATGGAAACAGGAGAGAAATCAACATTGGAGGCAGCTGATTTCATACTAGTACAATTTTCTGTTGTCCCAAGAACAGGTGGCGAGCCATTTTGGTGTAGCCAAACACAGGGTGTTTTCATCCTGCCTTAAGTACAAAGTCAGCTGGGTGACCTTGAGCCAGTATCTTCCATTCAGCCCTAGGAATGAGGCAATGGCACGCCACTTTGGAAAAGTCTTACCAAGGTACCTTAACTGTAGGGCAGTATCAATTGGACTTTCTTTGTTTTTCGTTGAAGACATTTCGCTTCTCCTTCACGAAGCTTCTTCAGTTCTGACTGAAGCTTCTTGGATGAGAAGTGAAATGTCTTCAAGGAAAAACAAAAAAATCCAGTTGCCTCTTGAAAAAAAACACCTTTGGATGACCTGGATGAGTGAGAATCTCCATAGACCTGTAAGGGTAGTATTCCTCAACCTTGGCAACTTTAAGCAATAATGGCTGGGGAATTCTGGGAGTTGAAGTCCACACATCTTAAAGTTGCCAAGGTTGAGAAACAACCTTGCTGTAGGGACCAGTTGAGGCAGTCACCAGTATTCGAAACCTGATTTGAAGTCACACACAAGACTAGGTGGATAGATAATTGGCAATCATTATGGGACAGAAACAGGAGGTTAACACTAGCCATCTCCTACAAAGAAAATTTATACAAGATGTTTTATAGATGGCATCTTCCCCCTACAAGGCTAGCAAAAATAGATTAAAAAAAACTCACCAACATGCTGGAAATGTAGAAGGCTTCCAGGGACTTATTATCTCATGTGGTGGGAATGTTCAAAGGCGTACAATTTTTGGAATCGGATAAAAAATTGGCTGGAAGAAATACTATTACAAAAAATTGTTTTAAAACCAGAAATCTTCTTATTAGGGATTATTAATGATAAACTCAGCAAAGCATCTTTTTACTTACTATTGCATATTTTAACCGCAGCAAGATTGGCATACGCTCAAAAATGGAAAGGAAAGGAAACCCCCACTGAGGAAGAAATAATAAATAAAATTTTATCCTGCGCCGAAATGGACAGGTTAACTCTAGAGATGAAAAATAAAACTGAAACAGAGTATTATGAAATTTGGGGAAATTTGTACGATTGGTTAGAGATAAGGAGGATCGCTGAGGCGATTATCGATTGACTAGTTGATATCATAAGGACTTCTTATTAGTACCTACATTAGGGCACAACTGAAAGATATGTAAGTATAATGTTGACGATTGAAAGATGGTTTATCAAAAATTTTACAGATGTTATACACACAGTTTGTTATACTTTGTCCTGTTAAAGAATATATTTTAAGTTTCTGTTTTTCTTTCTGTAACATAAGGTAATACTAATAGCACTGTTGAAGCCAGGGAAGTTGAAGCATGTCCATTTTTGTTTTTAAAATGTCCATTTAATAAAATTTGTTTTAAAAAAAAGACTAGGTGGAGAGCTCTTGATCCAATGGCCCAATTAGCTACCCCAATAACAGATCTGTTGTTAACCTGTTGTTTCTTACAGCGTCCCACATGTGTTTCTGGAGCTATTCAGAAGATATATTCCAATGTGTCCAATGTTGACGAAGTGGTGACCGACAGGTTCCTGTGCAGTGGAGAAGATAAGTCGTTGGAAGCATACACTTGCAAAGGTGAATTTTACGTGCAAAAGAGGAGTGATTGTATCCCCATTGTGTGTATAATGTCAAAGAAGGAGAGTTGAATTTTGGCCAAGCTATGCCATCTAAGTTGAAGTCACTGCATAAGGCATGTTTTGTACCATTTCCACTCGCCAATCCTTTAGAAATACGGGTAGTCCTTGACATACGACCAGTCACTAACGACCATTTGAAGTTATAATGGACTTTTAAAAAGCTACCTGGGACTCATTCTCAAAGTCATAATTGCTGTACACTACTCCCATTCCCCACCCCTGCACAGGCACATGATTGCATTTGGGGCGCTTGGCAACTGGATCGCATTTATGACCCGTTGCAGCGTTCTGTGGTGACATGATCCCATGTGTGACTTTTTGGGATACACTGGATTCATTTAACGACCATGTGGTTCCCTTAACGATCACACAATTCACTTAACAACTGCAATGACTCGTTAAAACCGGTTGTAAAATCAAGTCTAGTCACGTGGTGTCTTGACTTAACAACCGCCAACAACTTATAACCTAAATTCCAGCCTCCATTACAATTGTAAGTTGAGGACAGCCTATAGCAGTGGTGGCGAACCTATGGCACGGGTGCCAGAGGCGGCACTCAGAGCCCTCTCTGTGGGCACGTGCGCCATCGCCCCAGTCCTAGGCCTTCAGCTGGGTTTTATAAAACCTTTTCGCTTTAGGCCTCCGTCGCTGTGTGCAAAAAAAAAAAAAAAGGTTCAATCAATCAATTTCAACTTCTCTCAGGGAAAAAAAAAGATCTTGCAAAGTTGGAATTGATTGATTGAACTTTTTAGTCCCACCCAGTCTGCCGTTACCACTGCAGCCACGCCCACCCAATGGGCCACACCCACCCGGCACCCGACGATACATAAGTGGGTTTTGGGTTGCAGTTTGGGCACTCAGTCTCTAAAAGGTTTGCCATCACTGGCCTATAGTTTAAGGCTGTGCTGTATCTTCATGGCTGTTCTGATAATATCATAAGCCAATCGGCGATTCCCTTCAACTACCCATTAGATAGAACCAGGAAGAGGGTGCTGAATTTTGGATGTAAGAGTATGGACATAAGCCAGTGTTTCTTAACCTTGGCAAGGTGAAGATGTCTGGACTTCAATTCCCAGAATTCTCCATCTAGTATGGATGGCTGGGGAATTCTGGAAGTTGA